GAAACCAATCCAACGTTCGTAACACGACTTAAAGAGGTATTTTGCGTGAATAAATCAGCTTCAATACCTTAAGTTCGTGGCATCCCACTATACCATAAGGAGCCGTAATTAAACAAAATGTTCTGCCCTACAGACATGGGTGGATTAAAGTTATCTCCCCACCTTCATGTTTGCTGGTCAGTAACGCCACCCTCCCTCCTTTTGTGATGTTAGGCTCTCTTACGTTTGTGGTAAGTATGAATACTGCTTCAATCAAAGCCCATAGTTGGAATACACCGTCTCTACTAGGTCCATGTTACAAGCAAATCAGATAGTTAAAAAATTTGTTTTATGGGTTAGATGTCCACATAGTATATCACACTGCTATGAAAATAACTAATGGTTTAAAGAAGTAAGGACTAATAGCAAATCAAAAGATATGAGAGGATATAAAATCGTAGAAAAAAATTTCAGGGTAAGACAAATAAAACATTGAGAAACTCACAAGACGTTGTGGCCAAATTTTGAACTTTGAATGGTCGGCCTAAGTAGATCAGTATTCATAAGATTGAGCTATCTATCTACTTGCAGTAGGAAAAAAAAGGCATGACTTTTAGGAAGAATAATGTACATTTAACCTGTAGAGATTTGGGAACTGAAAGCTAGGGTTAGGAGCATGAAGTCATGATTAATAAACAATGAATAATAGGAAAGGATAAGCCATATGTTCTGTGATTTGTTTATATTCATATTAGTAACGGTCGGACTTATAATTTTGTTCTTTCTAGATACTAGGCGGTCCGTAATAAAGTGCCTCATTGGTGGGCGGGAGTTCAAGGAAATGTTGAAGCTCTTTGGAGTCTAGAAATAGGGTTATTAGCCTTTTGAATCTGATAAACGTATCACAATTACGGATAGGCATTGGCAGCCTGTTCCACAATAAACTGTACCGTACTGTAAAGAACTTACAACGCATTTGTTTTTGGTGTTTTACGGTAAGTAGTGTATATGCGTTGTTTCTAAGTCTATAGGCAGGATCGTGGGTGATAGTCGGGCAGGAGGTTAGAAAGAAGAGCCCATATATCGCTTTGTAGAGAAACATTAAATTGTTTTTTAGCCTACGGTGCCATAAAGGTTCTAAAGATAGATGCTTACATCTATCTGTGTAATCGAGATTCGAGTTACATCCTAGTAGTTGACGTGTGAAACGTCTTTGAACATCTTCTACTCTTATCTTGTCTGTGATATTCATATTAGAGAAGACAAAAGAGCAGTATTCAAGGGAGGGTCGTGCACATATTTTGTAGAGAGTAAGTTTACCCTCTGTTGTGAAAAAGTTTTTCATTACAAAGCCAATTAGCCGTCTAGATTTAGAAATAATAGAGGAGGCATGTTCTTCAAAGTTCAGGCTTCCTGTGTAATTAATTCCTAAATCGTGTACTGATTCGAGTGTTTGGACTCTACTTCATTTAAGTGAAGTTGCGGTTTATAGGGATGCTTTCCAAAGTGCATGATCCCGCACTTGTTGAGGTTTAATGGTAATTGCCATTTTTCACTCCATATAGTTAAGTTATTGAGGTCCTTTTGGATCTGGGATACACTTTCGCTTAGTGTCTCAGCCTTATAGCTGTATACTATTTTGAAATCATCAGCATATAAGTATGGTCTCCCAAATTCTATGGTGTTACATATATCGTTTATATACATAAGAAACAAAAGTGGACCTAATACGCTTCCCTGGATGACTCCACTGGTGATTGGTCTAGGGGACGAGAGACAGTCATTGTATTTTACCATCTGTTTACGTTCTGTTAAGAACGAAGCAAACCATGAGTACAGTGGGTTGTGTATTCCGAAGGACTTTAGTTCGACGAGTAGCCTTTTGTGTGGGACCTTATCAAAGGCTTTCTTAAAGTCTAGGAATAGAACTGATATAAGGAGTCCGCTGTCTCGTTTCATAGTTATATCATTCAGGTAGTCTACTAGGCATGTATCGCATGATCTGGACCTAAGAAATCCATGCTGGGAGGTCGAGATGAGATTATTAGCCGCCTTAACTACTTTTTCCATCACTCTGGATACCACTGAAGTTATGTTTATAGGCCGGTAATTTTCAACGTTGGCTTCAGGTCCTGTTTTAATTTTGGGAATGATATGTGTAGTTTTCCAGGCAGTGGGGTAACACGCTGAAGAGAGTGATATCGCGAATAGTTTGAGAAGCAAAACACACATATCATCACCTCCACGTTTTAGCATGCTAGATGGAATACCATCTGGTCCATCAGTGTATGAGTGTTTCAATGTACTGATTGCCTTGGAGATATTTTGTACACTGAATTCTACATTAGTAATTTCACAGGGAGTTACTGGGATTGGTTCTGAATCATTAAATGATTTTTCGTTAGTCAGTGAAAAACAAAAGTGTTCACTAAATAATTCTGTGACAAGTTTAGGATCTTCGTATACTTGTTTGCCTTTAATGAATATACTCCCTCTCGGTTTAGAGCGTTTAAGTTTATTTTGGAGTAGTATGGTGAGTGCAGAGGAGTTATTATTAAGTTCAACTGCACGTTTTTCCTGTGCTACTGCTTTTTGTTTACTTATTTCCTCTGTTCGGACAAGTATTTCTGTCATCGTTACTAAAGAGGAAAAGTCATTTAAGTTGTGGAATTGAGTACAATGTCTTTGAAGACGTCTTCTTGTACTGACCGGTATATAGAGATCTTTGGAGAACGCAGGTTTACAGTATTCTAAAGGTGCGATGTTGTTGATGATACTTTTGATGTTGTGATAAAATATATTGGTTAATGTGTCGGTATTGTTTGAGGTAAAGAAAGTTCCCCAATCAGTGCTTCTTAGGTAATTGTGGAAGTTATTCCAATCAACCTTGCGATAGTTTCTACGAAGTGTTACGGTTTTGCTTCTATCGGTTGTGGTTTTTACATTAAGGCTGCATATGACAATGTTATGATCACTACCTGGGAACTTTTTTCCAATATACAAAGTATTGGGGATGAGGCCACTGGTAAAGACTAAGTCCAAGATGTTTTGATGTCTGGTAGGGCTATCGACATACTGAGTCCATTGTCCGAGCTCTAGACATTCAATAAATGATTCATAACGTCTCGGCGCTTTGACTGGCAGCCAAGAAATTTCGGGCATATTGAAGTCACCACAAATGAGCTTGCCTGTGAATGAGAGGGATGATGCTAGTGTGAATACCTCCGATAATACTGCTATATCATCGATTGATGCGTTAGGTTGACGATAAACACAGCCGAGCAGTAAGGTAACGGAATTCGACAGCTTTAATACAATCCACACCGAATCCTTCAGTTTGTTTAGTTCAGGCGTATCACATAGTAGTGAGTTTAGGCTAGAGTGAGCGTAAATAAGGCATCCTCCGCCTCGTCCATTCAATCTGTCACTTCTATACAGGAAATAGTTATCAAAAGATATACTTTGGTCGGAAATATTACTGTTAGTCCATGCTTCAGATATCATAATAACTGATGGTTGATATATGGATACAAAGAGGGCTAAATCCGTCTTTTTGTTGCAGATCGAGTGAGGGTATCTCGGATAAAGTCGTCGTAACCTTCGCGGGTGTGAGATGAGTTTGAAATTAGGGATTGAATGTTCTTCATTAGCTCGGTATTTTGATAGCTAGATTTAGTGGGAGATGTATCAAATGAGCTAGTGAAGTTGATTGGGGAGTTTACCCAGGAGGAAAGGGTGGGAGTACTCTGTGATGGAAACTGTACGGAGGAAACAAATTTGTGGTTTGCATGTGGTTTGAAATAACCTGGGCTATATGCTTCAACAGAGGTGTCACTAGGGGTCTTATTCCAAAAAAATCTTGTACAGGCCTACTGTGAAGTGTATGGTTATTTACAAAATAGTCTTGATGGTTAGACTCGTAGCCCCTGTTATGGCTATTTAAGTTAGCGTGAGAGGGGTCTGCTACGCGTAACTGGGAGGAGTTGCAACTGTTGTTATGCATGGTAGCCGCTGTTATGTGATGGGTCGGTAGTAAAGGGTATGAGAAGTTTTCTTTCTGATAGTAATTACAGTTGCGATCCTGGGGAATGTAGGTAGGGTGTGTAGTGAGAAACCTATTATTACCATTCTTATTTATGGTTTTAGGCTTCAGGGGGTGATTTAGGTGGGCAGTTCTCTGGTAGTGTTCGTTAGTCTGTGTGCAAGAAGGCTTGCCACGCTGAAGCCCACCACCCATTTTGCAACTTGGAGGTGTTGAAGGCAAGTTATACGATAGCAGCAGAGAGAACCTGTTCACTGTTCTTGGGATACCTATAGAGCAGTTGGGTTCAATCTTACGTGTTTCCCTACTAGGTATCATGAGTTTTGTCTTCCCACCCTTTATTTTCAGAGCTGGAGCCTTTCGTTGTCTTTGTGAGATGAACTTACGTTCATTCAAGTCTACTTGTGGAATATCTTTAGGAGGACAAATTTTCAAGTGTATAGGTTTAGTTGCACGTGTGTTGTTACACGACTCACATTTTAGTACATTACTGAACGAACAGCTGGGATTAGTCATGTCGTTATGGTTTTTGGTGTCAGTTGGGGTCCGTATCTTATCCAAAGGTTTCTGATCTGTAGACTCATCTAGATCAACAGAGTGATCAGCCGTATGTGGAGTGGTGTCATGCTTATTGTTCGTGTGTTTTAAACTATTTGCTGTGTTGCAAACTGTCTCTAGCTGATTATTAACTGTAACACTACCATTCAATTCTATCGCTTCGCGTCTTCTTACACGACGTTGGCAGGGCGTAAGGTCTGGAGTAACTCTTATATTTTTGTATGGAATTAGTGAGCTAATATTTTTGCTCGAATTAATAAACTGCTTAGCATCGTTACAACAGCCAAACATAAACAAAATGGGGCAAGTCGTTCGGTCTGACTTTTTTCTAAGGCGGATGACTTTGCAGTTAACGTTCGGCATACCGCATGCTTTAAGGCAAATATCTCTTAGCTTAGATGGGTGTGTGCGGTCGGGAAGGTTATACACAACTGCATTGAAGGAGGACATCACTCTCTTCAGTCACAAACTCCAAAATACACTCAGCTTTGGTGATTTGCTCAAGATTTCTGTCTGTGTCAAGGCCCCATATATGAGTGAGGGATGCTAATTTCTCAAGTTTGCCGTTAATTTCGGATAGAGAGTTTTGCAGCTGTCGGATTTCATTACTATATCTATCAGTATTTTGGTGTGTATGAGGAGGACCATTGGACTCTTTAGTTTTTGAAATTTTAGACTTAGGCCTTGGTAGCACATATTGTCTAGTAGACTGTGCTGACTTTTCGATGCACGTAGGTATAGTGTCTTGTATGTCAACCAGTCTTACTTTTGGCATACTGCACGTAGAGATAGAGGGGCTGCGACAGGGAGAATCTGGTTACGATAGGGATATTTGTGTACAATACACATATTTTTCAGTAGTTAAAGGTTCGACATTGCCAAGCACTGAGTCCTCAGTTGTAGGGGTTACAGATTTGGACCTTTTATTTGGCTTAGAAGTTGGTGGAATTCGTCTTTTAATGGAGTTATTGGACATGATATGAAAATAAATGAGCACAGTGGTCTTTAAATTAAATATAATATCTGAGTATTAGTTGTTATTAAGTATTAAACTGGTTAATACTAGGATTGGAGACTATGAGTATATAATAAATTGCAGATCTATTAATGATTTAAGTCCGCAATAGGTACAATACGAACTAGTAATTGTCTGTCGAATAAAAATAAGTTTTTTCCTTATTTTTCGCAGTAAGATGTACCCGATGTACAGGATAAGATGATAATCACAGTATAATACACCCTACAAAAGAGTAAGTCGAAGAATTCCTAAACCACGTTAAAAAAAAATGTTACCACTTTCAAAGTTCGCGGTTAGTAACTATAGTCAATACTGTTTTGACATATGCTTGGTTGTTTGGGGTCAACTCTTAACCAACCAACCTATGCTGTTACAATTCTTTTCAGTCCAGGTGGATACTAGAGAATAGTCCATAGTTTGAACCAGAGTGAAAAGTTAATCGAAAAAGATATAAAGGATTAGATCCAGATAGTGATTCAGTTCTTACTCACATCGCCAGCCAATAACTATTTATGACGTCGGAGGGCTATATTTTCTCCGAGCTTTTTATTTTAGCAAGCTTATTTTTCTGAAGCATGTAAATACTACTATGGCTTGCTAATAATCCATGGTAGCTGAAAATTAATGTAGACGTGTAGTGACTCATGCAACAAAATATCTCCGGTAGTTGGCGACCTCTCGAGTTTTTCTCACGACGCCTTACTTCCACGGAGACGAGATATAGCGCTTTTGGTCGCGAGCTGCTAGCAGCCTACTGCGCCATCAAACACTTTCGGCACGCAGTAGAAGGACGACAATTCATCTTATTCACCGACCATAAGCCCTTAACGTATGCTTTGCATACCAAGTCTGACCGCTACTCACCACGAGAGTGCAGACATTTGGACTATATCTCTCAGTTCACGACAGACCTTCGTCACATCAAAGGCGAGTCGAACTGTGTTGCCGATGCTCTATCACGAATCCAAACGAATGCAGTTACTCTGCCGGTGCTCGATCTCCCTGCTATGGCCGCTGCCCAAGCAAACGATCCTAGTTGTACCAAAGCACCACACTCCACGTCCCTTCAGTATCAGGAAGTACCTTTAGCCACGACTTCTGGCACCATTCTATGTGATACTTCTACCGGCCTTCCTCGACCCATCGTACCCTCTACTTATCGCCGTCTCGTATTCGATGCCCTGCATGGATTATCTCCCCCAGGTATCGCAGCCACATTACGTCTCATCGCTGCACGATACGTCTGGCCGTCCATTAATAAAGATGTTCGTATGTGGGCGAAGCAATGCTTACAATGTCAACGATCAAAAGTGCACAGGCACGTAGCCGCCCCCCTTGGCACTTTCGCTACGCCTGATGCTCGCTTCGATCACGTTCACTTAGACATTGTAGGACCACTGCCACCATCGCATGGGTATGATCACATACTCACGTGCATTGACCGCTTCACCAGATGGCCCGAAGCTATACCCATCACGTCTATCACGGCGGAGACAGTTGCTCACCGCTTCGTAGAACGATGGATAGCTCTATACGGTTGTCCCTCGACTGTCACGACTGACCGAGGACAACAATTTGAGTCCGCACTATTCTCCTCACTTACTCGGCTGCTTGGTACGAAACGCATACACACTATCGCCTACCATCCAGCTTCAAATGGTTTAGTTGAAAGGTTTCACCGTCAACTTAAAAGCGCTCTTCGAGCACACGAAAACGACGACTGGTACGAAACCTTACCGCTCGTTCTCTTAGGTATCAGAACGGGTTTAAAGGCAGATATACAATGTTCCGCCGCTGAACTACGGCACGACATTGCGTCTGCCCGGGGAAATCTTCACACCACGGAGCAGACATGATTTCGCTAAATCAGACTACGTCCAACGACTGTCTGCATTTATGCGAACGCTGTCTCCGGTGTCAACTCGAATACAACATCGACAGGTCGCACTCCCTCGAGAGTTATCTACCTGTTCACATGTTTTCGTACGAGTAGATTCGGTACGCAAATCTTTGCAACAACCTTACGAAGGCCCTTTTCGCGTGATCGCTCGTCATGAAAAGACCTTCAAGGTTGATCGACACGGCCGCGTCGAAATCGTCAGCATTGATCGTCTCAAACCAGCACACGTCGATGACAGTGCCCTATCTGATAACCTGAGATTCAATGCTAGACCTATCAAACCTACTAGCGGGATCCTCAAACCATCTTCAGGTCCCACGCTAGATACACCTGAGACCTCATTTTCACGTCCCAGTCAACAGCACGCGTCATCTGCACCGTCTACGGACGAGACAACAGTCTCACGTCCAGATCAGCAGACCACGCCGCCTTTGACTTCGGATGAGATCGCAGGCTCACGCGACGCGAACGAGACTACCGTCTCACGTTCCGGTCGCCGAGTACGGTTGCCCGTACGCTTTCGTGACTAGCCGCACAGTCAACAGCCGATACGGTGTAGGATTATTCCTATACTACACGCATGCTACACTCTTCTTTTTTTGATTTCTTTTTGTTTCCTGAGCCCACGCCTTCGACCACCTCAGTTTGGTTCCGTCGACTACAGTCAACCTTGGGGAAAGCTGGCCTGATCACCCACGCTCTTGTCAACGCACTCAGTCGATATATTGGTTTGAATGTTTGGCACACGCTTGGTCTCGAACTTGGTCCTTGCGGTCGCTTTCGGTCTTTCGGCTCAACGTGGTTTCGTCCTACGTCTGCAGCGTTTCTGGTCCGGATTCCCTACGAACGCCATCTTCAGATTCTGGATACAAACCACTCGTGTAGCATGCCAACTCAATCAACAAGTACAGCACATCGATTCTGGTACCGTTCTCCGAAAATAACCTGCGTTGGCAACTCGACGATCAACAATTGCTTTCCTGTTCGCCAATCATTTCGTCCTACAAACGCTCGTCAGACGATCAGTCCCACGATTTAAACCGTTATTAATCGAAAGTGTAAACCCTTTCTAGCGGGGGGCTCCTGTAGTAACTCACGTTTATTACGAGAACACGACTGGTTCAATAAAAACAATTATTATTATAAACAGTTGTACCAGTGTTTGTTTTAATGTGCTTTTGTTTAACTGTGCTAATTATAGTCATTTTGTGCTTCCATTACCTTCCATTATTGTTTCGCGCCTTTTGCCGATGTTCGCACGTATTCTGTACTCCTGCTTCCGCTTGTACCGTTCGTGGCACGATCTCGGTATTCATTCGATACCACGAGATCGCCAAACGAATAAATCTGCTTACGCTCAACCTACGCCTTCTGATATTCTTGGCACGTGTATTTTGGTAGCGGTGTACATAGTCAATCCCGACTCGACGCCACGCTACAGACGACATGTTTCTAGTATCGTTGGAGATAGTAAGTTATGAGTACTAGTGAATATACTATAACGTTAATACATGTGAGTATTAGTCGGAGTACTGATAGGAAAATCGGTTGACATCAGAAAAACTAATCGACAAGATATAAATAAAAATGTGGATTAATAAAAGGCTGAGTTTACTTAGCCAGTCCTATGAATGTTTTACCTATACGTAACCTTCGTTCTATTCATAGAATAAACCAGACTGGTAGCGAATAGGTCTTTATTTACGTCGCGAGATAGTCACAGTGGAGCGGTGAATCGCCTATTCAAACACAAAAATCTTTTCAACATTCAGTATAAGATATTGAGAAGTATAATGCCTCTACGAAATAAGGAAGTGAATGAATACTTGAGCGCTATTGTTTTGACATATGCTTAGTTGTTTGAGGTAAATTCATGACTAACCAACCCAAATTGTTACGTTCTACTCTGGGGTGTAGATTATTAACGTTGACGGACTATATGAGACGATCAGGGGACTGCTCGAGTTAGACGCGAATGGTGTGACCATCAGCTAACGTCAAAGTCGCACCACGTAGTCAGCACCAAACTTGTTTTAACCCTTCGATTAGTCAAGGTACTATGGATGCTTTGAAGACCGTACAACAAGAAGGACTTCATTACAGGAGTATATTAGTTAAAGTAGGTACAAGCAAAAGTGTGGCCACCGCCTTTTGGGCCAGTCCACGGCGTAGGATAAACGGATGCGCGTTAGTTGTCCTTGATCTCCACGCGGATCAATGATCTGTTTAATATTCCGTGTTCCAACTGCCAAGTGATTTCGCTGGGGCTCAGTGACATTTCACTGGCCCTACAATACTCCCCCACCAGATGCAACGACCTCTTGAATCGGTACCAAACATGTTGGGAGTAATCGCATGCTGCATTTTGCCAAATGATTAATATGAATATTCTGAGTAATGTAAGACAAATGGAAAGGAGGCAGCAGAAACCGATTGAAAACAGCCAGTAATAATAAATTACTAGGAAGTTGGTTGAATCGTAAAGCGATCAACCATAGAAATAATAGAAAAAACATGACGTTTCAAAGATCGCTTTGACAAGTGAATGTGTTCCTCGGATAAGAAACGTTAAGTTTGCCACAAGATTAGTGATCCTGCATTGATGGTTTTATAAGTGCATTATCAATCGATGACGATTTTTAACCACCATTGGTTTAAGGTAAAAAGTCAAACAGCATCGTCGACAACTTCTGTTTGTAAGTGTCGAATTCTATTTATATCCATATTTGACAAAATAACCGTGAGTACAGAAGTATAACCGTGAAGTCGTGATTTCTTTGTGCGAAGTTATTGGTCAACTTGCAGTCAGAGTTTGAAAAGCTTCATCATATTTGTAAGGACCAGCTAGCTATTTCAT